ATCGATATGTTTTAAAAACTCGATATATCGCCCAGCTCTAAATGAACTTATGCAGCCTCAATAAAAGGGCAGTGTTACGGGGGAGCGGTCGAGAGCGACTGGGGTCAAGCGAAGGAACGGCGTCTGTTCGGTTCTCTCCCGTGCACGAGGAACATGAAGAACTTTGCCTACTCGTGTCTTACTTTGCTGTGTAATTATATTGTCTTCAACGTTCCAGCGGATAGGTTCAAGCTACAAACCTATCAAAGAGCTGCTTTTTTTTCATTTGGAAAAGTCCAAACTGAGAGATCAGCAATGTGTCAGCATTTTAGCCCAGAGCAGATTAGGGTGTTGTACATGAAAATGTCTAAATTTAATGTGTCTGTGTGTTAGGTATGTGCATCGCCCATGTTTGCAAGTGATAGAGGCCTTGTTGGTGGCTGCTGTGACCGCAGCAGTGTCATTCACCATGATTTATTTTTCCAACGACTGTCAGCCTCTGGGGCCCGAACACAATGAGGAGTACCCACTGCAGGTACACCCACATTTGTTTCCACTTGACTGAAAACACTCTCTCGCGGCTTTTTTCGATTTAGATGATGATGCATAATAACACTAAATATGGGTCACAGTGTTACAGCAGAGCCGGGCAGGATTAGTTTTAAGATGGACGGGGAGATGGTGAAATGTGTGACAAAGCAAATTCAGACCAGCACGTGCAGATTTGTAGAGGACCCTGCTCATAATGATCCTTGGCACTTCCTACTTTTTAACCTCACAGTAAAGTTTCATTTCAATAAAGTTTACCAGCATGGCGTAAAAACGGTACTTTAAAGGGATCTAAGGGGATGCAGGATGTTTCTCTCATAGAGTGCAACATTTTAAGAATTTATGTATTACCATGAAAATTGGTTGAGACATTCAGATGTCTCTTTTATATTCAATCATTTCCATGTTTGCTGCTAATTAGAAAACAGAATGTCCGGGAACAGTTTTGGTTCAGTGCACTGTGACTGAGACTAGCTGTAGATTATAAGCTCAGATGATGGAAGCAATACCAGATTTAAATGTTATAATAGTTTATGCTATCATGTTTGTATTTAGGCACTGTGGACATCCAATTCCTAATAAAATCAGACGTGATAAGCAGTTTTTCTGTTTCTGTCTTAAGCCCTTCATTTTGTGGCTCTTGAGTATTTTGTGCCATGCATCATTTTTCTGTCTCTATTTAGTTGTTTTGTGCAGATGGCGAGTATAATGCCATGGCTACAGCATTTTTTAACACTCCTGAGAGAAGCGTTCGTAGTCTCTTCCACAATCAGCCGGGTAAGATGGTGCACTATTGTAGTGACTTTGTTTAAACCATTACACTCTCACTAATTACTTTCTTTGTTTGTGTTTTAAAGGAAGTTACAACCCTCTGACGCTGGGTTTGTTTACTCTGACCTATTTCTTCCTGGCGTGTTGGACATACGGCCTGGCAGTGTCTGCTGGTGTCTTCATCCCGTCTCTTCTAATAGGAGCAGCTTGGGGGAGGCTGTGTGGGATACTGCTTGCCTCTTTCACTCCCACTAGCCCGGTTGGTGCTCCTCACAGTGACATTTGTTTTAGTTCCCATTTTGAAAACTAGCTACATTTAATGGAGCTGACCCAACAAGTTAACATGACCGGTATCATGGACAGTATTAGCAAAGCAGTGGAAGAAAATAGTCTTTATTTTAAAAAAAAAAGAGAACTTTTAATTACTTCACAAACCTTCCTACTAAACTTGCTAGCATTATTGTGTTATTAAAAATATGGGATAGGGAAATAGGTGTTATCTGAAACATGTTAAATGCATATTTTTATTAATTAATTTGTCTAGATTATTGTTACATTAAGCTAATATGCCAATTAACATGTGTTAAAGACTTTGCTCCATGTATTTTCATAGATTTGGGCTGATCCTGGTAAATATGCTTTGATTGGAGCTGCAGCACAGTTAGGTGAGTAACTGTCACTTTAAAAAAAAAAAATTGTAATTTTATGTATATTGTTGTAAATATTTAAATTTGTTCTACAATGTGCTGCATACTTCCTCCTCTCTGCAGGTGGCATTGTAAGAATGACTCTCAGTTTGACTGTCATCATGGTGGAGGCAACTGGAAACGTCACGTACGGCCTTCCCATAATGCTCGTTCTCATGATTGCCAAAATAGTGGGAGACTACTTTCAGGAGGTGAGTGAAGTCACAGACACAACCTACTCCTCACTCCACACTGCTGAAGTTAGTCCAGTGTAGGGTGATCAGATCCCAGCATAATAAATGCTACTGTATTTTATCTGAACGCAAGTGCTTAGTAAATGCATTAGTCTTTTGTAAACCTATATTTTCCTTTTCTGTTGAGAGGAGATAAAAAATAAAGTTTATTTTGTTTGTCTGACAGCAGACACTTTGTCCTAACCTGCTGGAATAATTGGAGATTTATCTGAACGTCACGACCACGCCTCAGACACTTACCTTCTGGTTCCATACCTATACATTGGTTCCTGCACTGTAGGCTTTTTGTTCTCATTTTCGTGCCCAACCCTCCCCCCGCTTTTCTCAGTTCTTACACGACTCATTTGTACCCGGGGGTTTGGTCGGCCTGGAAGTCCTCACTGAGGCCTTCCACAAAACCTCAGTCTCAGGCTTAGAGAGTAGAGTCCAACCACTGTAACCTTTCAAGAAACCTTGCGGATTGAATTGAAGATGTTGTCCTTGCTGGTGAAATTGCAGTTGGATCTACTGTGTACAGTTTCTGATAGGAAAGTAAGGCACAGACAGCATCTCTAACCACTCTTATTTTCCTGCTTTAGGGTTTATACGACATTCACATCAAGCTGCAGAGTGTTCCCTTCCTGCACTGGGAGGCTCCTGCCACCTCCCACTGGCTGACTGCCAGGTAAGATGGATGAACTTGTGTTTGTTTTTCTCACTGTGTCTTTTATTTTATAATCAGTACTTGTACTCTTGTTGTTTACCTTCTTATCACCATTGTCCTCCTCACTGTCCAGAGAGGTGATGAGTTCTCCAGTCACCTGCTTCAACAGGATAGAGAAGGTGGGAACAATCGTGGACGTCCTTAGCAACACATCAACAAATCACAATGGCTTCCCTGTTGTCGTGCAGGTTTTGGATAGTGATGAGGTAACTGTTTGAATGGGGGGTTTTTTCTGTTGAAAGTTTGTGTTTGAGGTGTTAAAGGGTTGCTCGCTGCTAAGTAGTTGGTTTTGTTTCTTAACAAAAGGTCGTGTTAAGGTGTTTGTAGTCAAATCCGTGGAAAGCGTTGTTTTTGTGTCAATTTTTGGCACCACTTTAGCAAAGTACATAAGCTACTTTAAGTGCAGATTGGAGTTGACGCAGGAGAAAAATGTGAGGCATGTTGCCCTGCAGTGTAAGAGATTATTAACACCTTCCTCTTCACTCAGCCAGCAAAACTCTGCGGTCTCATCCTGCGCTCTCAGCTGATTGTTCTTCTCAAACACAAGGTAACAGCTGATCTGAGATCTGATACGAGAGCCTGTAAAACCTGATTGCAGTAAGGCCAGTTTGCACCGTCTTCTTTCCTGCCAGGTGTTTGTGGAGTTGGCCCGGTCCCGGCTGTCTCAGAGGAAGCTCCAGCTGAAAGACTTCAGGGACGCCTACCCCCGCTTTCCCCCAATCCAAAGCATCCACGTCTCCCAGGACGAGAGAGAATGCATGATGGACCTCACTGAGTTTATGAATCCAACACCTTACACTGTACCACAGGTAACAGATGCAGTAACTGCAGTTGTGCAAGCACCAACAAATTTGATTAGACTTGTAAGTTGAGACTGCTGCTGCAAAATGTTAAATTTGTGGGTTTACAGTTTTCTTTTCATTCTTTCATTAAAATGCTTTTCAGGATTGTTTTTGATGTTTTGTTTGAATGAAGTCAAACTAGGGCTGCTCGATTATGGCAAAAATGATCATCACGATTATTTTCACTGAAATTGAGATCTCGATTATTTGATGATATTTATTTAACAATAACAATGTATTGAATAATGACTTTAAAGATTGTCAAAACAAATAATATAAAATAGTGTGCAAATACTGATAACAGTGCAAATGTTTGCAATATAAAAAATAAATGAAAAATGTAAACATCTATGTTTAGTGAACTTCAAAATACTGCATAATATTTATGCATACAAATAACCAAACATCAAGGCAAGCTGTGTAGCCACACAATGCACAATTGTATCAAACTGACACTGAGGTATGTCAACTAAAGTTGCTGCTTGAACAAAAATAAAATGAAACACTGAAAGTACAATACAACTTTATTTGTATAGCACATTTAAAAGACCAGTGGTACACCAAAGTGCTTTACAATAAAAACAGGAAAATTAAGACAATAAATAAAAGACTATTAACAAAGTACCACATATGTCATTAGGTTAAGGGCACTAATTATACAACAATAAAAGGGAATATAAGAACAAAGTTACTAAGAACAGATAAGGTTAAAAGATAAAGTACATAAATAAGAAATTGAACCAAATTTAAAATAGGGACACTAACTTACTAAAAGTAGTAACTTTTATAAGAAATAAATAAAAACTAGTAGGCCCAAGTCCCATACAATCTCAAAACGGCTCAACAAAACATGGTTCCTGCAACCTCTCAAAGGTTTTTAGCCAAAAACGCCAGCCTATTGACATGATCAGGCTTCAGGGATGCACGCAGGCACTTGACAACATTTCCACCAGTGCTGAAGACTATTTCTGATGAGGCACTTGTGGCTGGGATGCAAAAATATCCTCTCCTCTCCAAAGAACTTCTGCTTAGCTTTCCGAGCTTCCCTCGGGTCCTCTTAATTGTTGCGACGTGTGTTCGAAACGAGAGGTGCGCTCGATTTGCCACACGGAGCAGCGTGAGAGTAAAGCACGAGGGAGGTGCTAATAATCGGCTCGGTCATTTTTAATGATCGTTGAAAGCCCAGATCGTAATTTAGATTAAAATTCGATTAATTGAGCAGCCCTGAGTCAAACTTTAACAAATCGTTCTGTCTGCAGGATACATCACTCCCCCGTGTGTTTAAGCTGTTCAGAGCCCTGGGACTGAGACACCTGGTGGTGGCAGATGATGTGAACAGGGTAAGACGGTGTGTTTATGTTTCAGTGTAAAGGATTTTTGTTTGGTTGTATTTCCCCACATACTTCACATTTATTTTGCTATGATGATTGTCCTGATTAGTTTTTTTTTTTTTTTTTTTCTTCTTTGGTTTGTCACCTCCTGCAGGTGATTGGACTGGTGACAAGGAAGGACTTGGCCAGATATCATCTGGGCAAACATGGGCTGGAGGAGCTGCAGCTTGCCCAGACATAGTGTGCCCACATACACACGCCCATAGACTGACCACATGTTGCCTCAGAAGCTGTTGACCATCCGTTTGGCAGCCCAGAAGGACGCCTTCAAGGGCCAAAGATCTCTTTTTTGAATAATTCTAAAAAACATCCACCCCTCTGTTAACGCTGAGTGACGGCATTTTCTTCTAAAGGATTCAAATTAATAGTTTTTCCAGGATAATTCCAGGAACTGTATTTTATTTAATAATTCACCAGATTTTTGCGCTGAGGCAACAAATGATGCTTGACTTTCTTGTCTTTTATTCTTAATCGTTTTGGTTGTTTAGTTGTTTTTCACACACTTTTACAGAGTTTTACACACACACACACACACACACACACACACACACACACACACACACACACACACGTCTGTGGCCCCAAATAAAGTTGGACTGGATCAGTTAGAATGAAAATCAATTTGCTTATATTCTAAACAAATCTGTTTAATTTTTGTTAACTTGGAAAATATTTTGCGTTGTTAGCCACAGCATTTAAACCAGTGACGGATGAAGTGAGTCACTCATCTCAGAAGCGTTGTGCTGGGAAACACTGTTGCAGACTGAGCATGCTCCCTCATTGTAACAGACTACATGGAAAAAATACTCATGAGCAGCATGATAAATAACCCGAGGTGTTGACCCAGCCTCCAAACTTCCAAGTTTTTAATCCAGTCAAGGATCCGTGGAACCCATCGGATCACCCCTGAGAACCCACTCCCCAACCATCAGCTCCCAAAGGATTTTCCTAGTGCATTTCTACTGTTGTTAGTCCCATTCTGCCTCCCTACTTTCATAAACTGTTAAATGTTAGTTCCTTCATGAGGTGGTGTAGCTGGATGCTGTGGAAATGCAGGTGTACAGGATGGTAACTTGCTTCAGATTGTGTGAGACGGGTCTTTTATATTCCTGCTGCTGCGCTACAGGATACTTTGAAGTGTTTTGCTTAGAAAATCTGATTGTGAGTTGTCGTGTTCAAGAGCTGGTTTAAAGCACAGCTACCGACCACTGAAGGTTTGCAATGATATCTGTGTTTGTGTAGTTTTGCACTGAAAGACTGCTGTTATTTATTGTACTACTTAGATTGGTACTCAAAGGTACTTTTTCCACCTTTGAAGGTTTGCACTTTGACCTGCTACTGAAGACTTCCCACGAGTGTCCCTATTGGAGCTCTGTATGAATGTAAACAATAGTGTGCCACATATCTTCTTTGCTACCCTGACAACACATTTTTCTTATTGATTGTAATCGTGTCTGTTTGTATTTCTAACACTTCAGTCAGCAGTGTTGTCGATTTCTTTGGGCTTTTATTGTTTTTACCCTTCCAGATGTAAACATGCAAATGTTGCTCTATTTTATGGATAAACCTTTTTGTGAATGAATAAAGTTTTAACTATTATCATACAACTCTTTTGTACATTTAAGAATGAGTCCAGGCACTTTTCTCTTCGAGCTCCATAGACCAGTGGTTTTCAACTACTGTGCCATAGTAGTACACCAGTGTGCCATCGCAAATTATTTCACTTCAATTAATTGGCCCAAAAGATACAATTTAATAATTACTGCCAATAATCATTGTTGGGCATCTGTGCTTTCACTGCAGTGACTTGTAGTAATTACCACCCACCTGACATGAACGAGTAATTACTAGTCAACTGTTTGCACAAAATACTAGTCCTTAGTTTAGTTCTGTATTATATAAGATGTCCGTCCCAGTCTAAGAGGATCAAATTTCTACGAATGTTTGTCACAGGATCCCAGACACAGAACAGCAGCACATAAACCCTCTGTCCCAAAAATGGACATCAGGGAAGAGCTGGGTCGTATTTGGGAAAGAATGAAGTCAGAAAGGGTGCCTTGCACTCTTGAAGATGTGTTTGTTAATATTTTGGGGGAAACATCCAACCCTCCCACTCCCTTTTCCCCACCTCCTCCTCCTGCTTTCCCTGCTGGACCAGCTGCCCTGCCTCACCCAGCAGCAGGCAGAGTAGAGGATTTGTTACCTACACCCTCCTGGGATCCGCTCCTCTTCTGTCTGAGCACCAACGTTCATGTATAGTTGCTCCAATCACCATGCAGCCATCTCACATGTACAGTCAGCCAGGCACAGCTAGCCAAGAACAGATGAGACACTCAGACAGTTGTCGTTAGATTTTTATTGATAAAGGTGCTTGAACCTGTTGGATGCTTCAGGCTAATGAAAGAAAAACAGTTTAGTTTGCATGTTTCTGTGCTGTTTATCATTATTAGTCTTTGAAATGCTGGACTAAGTGTCAGTATTATGGATTTTTGTCCTTCTCCATCTCTCCACACAATCTACTGTATCCGTTGCCTGTAAACAACATCCCATCGGCAACAACAGCAGCTGTTCTTCCAGCTCCTCCACCCCACAGCTGCGCTCCAAAGTCAGTTTCTCTGCTGCGTTTTCTCACTGATCTGCAGGTATCTGTCATTTATCTGCAGATGTGTGTGTGAATTATTAAAATCAGCCTCCTTTAATGGTGTCGCCTTACATTCAGTTTCACAGCGTTACTCATGTTTTTAAAGTACTTTCCTCACAGTTGTACATGGTGGTAACACATGCTCTCACTCTGGGTTTTATTCCTGTTGAAGCAGCAAGCATCAAACCAAACAGGGTACAGACCAGGCTTACATTAAGAAGCCCCCAAATGCCTTCATGCTGTACCTTAAAGAGCAGAGGCCAAAGGTCAAAGCAGAGCTAAATATCAGTAACAGTGCAGCTGTGAATGCAGCTGTGGGAGAGAGAGTAAGTGTGTAACTCTGAATATATTTATGCATCTGTTAATGTGCATGTGTACCAGCTGTCCTGTAGTCATGTGTAGTAGCAGTGTGGCTGTGTATACGAGCTGACAGTGTGTTCTTGTGATCTTCTATCCACAGTGGAAGTCGCTCTCAAAGGAGGAGCAGAAAATAGATTTTTCTGAATCAGTGTGAAGCCGTCTCCTTGCCCACTCAGCCTCAGTGTCATTCCTCTCACCAGGTAACCTCTTCAAGAAAATCAGACCAACCCTCCTTCTCATGAATTCATCTGCATTATTGGCCTCCTCTGCTGCACCCAATGCACTCCAGACAGAGGCCACCCTCTTCAGGAACATTGGAGAAGATTCTCTATCAATGCTTGAACGTCTTGATCTCCTCCCGGTTACTCCACAATCTCAGCAGCCCTTCTCTTGTCATTCAGATCTCGCTTATGGGGAGTCAGTTAAATTTAGATTTAACTGGCCTTTCTTTAGCACTGCACTTTATAAACTTATGTTACTGAACTGTGTTATCATTTCTGTAAATAAATTAAAAAAAACAACAAAAGAGGCTTCTTTCAGTTTGTACAGCAGGATGGGAGGGTATAGAAGAACTTGTTCATTACTGATCCTTTGAAGTGGCCCCGCAAAACAGTTTTTTTTTACATTTTCAAACATATACCACACATCTGTCTGTGTCCACTAGGTGTAAGGGAAAAGCTAGATATAAACTAGCTTAAGTCTCAGGCAGTCAGAGGTGTTACTGTTAGGTGGAGCTGCCCCTCACATAAATGCTTTGCAACTATTTTCACTAAAACCTTTTTTTCCCAAATGAGCATATTTGTGAAAGTTAAATGTAATGCAATCAAAGTTCATTTCCATGTGAGCATTGCTAGACAGTGATAACAAAAACATAGTGCCAAGTACGTTGCAAGAGCCAAACATCACAAGTGTCCTTAGAAAATCTGGACTGATGACATCTCATAAAGCTGAGAACTGTGAGAAAGATCAGGTAACAAGAAAGATAAAGGTCCAGTCCAACCATCTTCCTGCAGAATCCCTGACTCACTTCCTCCCAGGCTGTGCCTTTATATTTACTTATTTAGGATTTCCATCAGTTGCAACTGATAATAACCATCATTTTCTGTTATTTCAGACACATTGATTGGAATTTGTTTTTTTAACTGGATGGACAATTGTGTTGGACTAAAAAGAAGGAAGTTTTTAATTACCTCAGCAGCAATTTGTTGGGATACCTTGGGTCCTGGGTCTCATGTGCTTCTATAAAGTACACTTTCTTCTTCTTCTTCTAATATTGACATGGACCACCTACCCAAACACTGCTGCAGACCGAGCAAACTCCCAAATACTGACAGTCCCCAACTACATGCAAAACATACTCATGAGCTGCTCGAGCAACATGACTGTAAACCAAGATGTTGATCCAGCCTCCAAACTTCCAAGATTGAAAGCCAGTCCAGGATCCGTGGAATGCACCAGAACGAGCCTGATCCACTGAGGACGCCACAGCTCGGGGTGTAAGGACATTTGTGTCGCAACACGGTTTTTCACTGATTGAAATTGTGTTGGTTTGCAAATCTAACAATTCAGTCCGCAGTGCTGTTGTTTTTACACTTCTAGATTTCATCTATTACACAACTCTTCATTATATTTGATCAGCAGGATCCAAACATGAAGTGAGGGGGAAAAAACACATCAGGCAGCCAGGTACTTTATTCATTTTATTGGCATGTTCAAACCCTGCTTCTTAATCAAAGTCATAAATATAGCTGATCCCAAGTTTTTAATCATATATACCAGTTTGAAATTCAAATGTTGTTTGTGGTACTTGATGGGATTTTAAGGGGGAAAATCCCCCCAAAATTGTAGAATAATAGTGTGAAAAATAGAAATTTTTCATGCCATTATTAGAAATAGTGGACAGATGAACTTTGTACACCACATCAGTGCTCTGTACACTCACTGGCCACTTTGTTAGATACACCTTGCTAGTACCAGATTGGGCCCATTTCTGCTTCCAAAGCATTTAAATGCTCAGTTTGCATTTCAGCAGGTCTTTCTGTCCATGTTGACGTGCCTAAATGCACTGGGTTGCTGACATGCGATTGGCTGATCCCATATTTGCATTAATGAGCAGCTGAATGGGTGTACCTAACAAAGTGGCAAGTGAGGGTATTTGTACTGGACTAAAACAGACATAAAGCTGTAAAACTGCCCACAAACATTAAAGTCCCGGGTAGGATGCTGAGTAGTGTTTACAGATACAGTATGTTTCATGTGGGACTTCATGAGTGCTTTGTATCATAAATAACCAATCACACGAGTTTAAAAACAGTTTTTTTTCTGGGAGAAACTAACATCTGCTTTTGTAGTTCAGAAAAAGGCCAATTTCTTATAATGTTGGCACATTAAAATTAAAAAAGCAACAAGGAACTCTTATTAACTTGACCTTGAGCAAGGCACTTGTTTCGCAGCTTGCAGTGGGTATAGTGTGGACATTCCAGTAGTGCAGCATAAACTATGTTCACACATGCCTTTTTGTGATCTTAACTTGTTTGTGAGAACGTAAAGGAGTTAAGCCACCAAGATGCAGCTGAAATGAAACAGATGTGGACACTCAAATAAAATGCATGCTCAACATGCACGAGGAGACAGCGAAACCCATGAAAAGTAATAATGATAATAATAGTAATAATAAATCAATCTCCAGCCCATTCACTCAACCACTGCTGGCACTGTCTCCTCTGCTCCTCACTCTCCTCCTCGGTGCTCTGCTCCTTGCTTCGTTTTCTCCTCTCATCCTCCTCTTCTTTTCTCGCTCTCTCTTGCTCTTCCTTTTTAATCTTCCTGTCCTCCTCCTCCCTGCGGTGTATCAGGGCCTCCACAGTGGCATCTAGTGTCCTTAATGAGCACTGCGGGAGCCACTTGGGATCAACCGCTGGGACAAAAGGGTCTCCGGCAGTGACGCGCAGTGGCTGAGGTTCGAGGGGAATGTGGAGGAGGTGTGCGTGCAGCATCATGCGGTACGGGGAGTTGTCTGTTCCCGAGCTGTAGGTGAAGTCCCCGACAATAGGGTGGCCTAAAGCGCTGCAGTGGACCCTTAACTGGTGGGTTCGACCTGAGAAGAAAAGGAAAATTGAGCGGCAGCGGGAGGGTGACTTTTTAGGAAGTGTTTGCTTCTTTCTAAATGAATGTTACAGTTAAAAAAAAAAAACAAACACAAAAACTCAGGCCTGGCACTGCCATCTTTACATGGAAGCTAAGCTTTCCTCTGCAAGAAGAAAATCTTCATTTGTCCTTTGAAACAAATGCAATTACCAGTGAGAGGCTGCAGCAGCACCTTGGTAACAGGGTCTCCGTCATATAACCCATATTCTAACACTAAGAGCTCGGTCTGGCAAGGCTTGGGGTTCTCACAACCTGACCACAGAAGGAAAGAACAGAATATAATTCAAACAACTGCTGGAAATTAATGATTTACTTTCAACACGATGTCCAGATGGAATAAATGTCAGAGTCTCTACTCATTGTTGTTCACACTCACAAGACTCAAACCAAGCCAAGTTTAAGTACCTTCTGTTCCCTCAACACACATCATATGTGTTTTTCCCTCCGTGGAGTTCTTGCCGATGGAGAAGTCTACAGTGTGTGTCTCTCCTTCGACCGCCCCACGTATCTGGAAAGTAAAAAGTGTATTTTCACTGACACGTGTCTCAGAGCACCTGCACATCCATCATCTGGTTATTGTTCTTTTCTGCAATCCTTGTTAACCTGCTCTCCTTCCTCTCTCATTCATCCCTCGTGCTGATTGGTCAAAGAACAGAAGGTCAGCTCTCTTTCTCTCTCTCTCTGCCTGCTCTACCTTAACTCGGCAGTACTTGTCAGGTCCTATTAATCATTAATTGAGCTGGAAATTTTGGTTCTATTAGTTAGCTTACTCATAATAGTTTAGGGAAGTAGCCTGAATCTGATGACCCACACTGTGGCCGGTTCAAGGCCTTCTTCCTCTTTTGTTTTCTTTTGCCAAGCCTGACATCTACCTTAAAATAAAACTGAAACTTTAGTGATTCATCAGGTAGTTACAGTTTCCACTAGAGCAGGGCGATATGACCAAAAATATTTATCACGATATACTTTTGAAAATTTGCAATAACGATATAACTGACGATATAATTGACACTAGACAAATTACTTTACAACTCCACAACTTTATTAGTGCAAAAAAAAAACCCATCAACGTATTTTCACTTAAACAAGCAGCTAGTTTTTATGTGCATTAAAGTTATATAAAAATTTTACCGTGCAAATGCAAATTCCTTGCTGACAGTTTAACCAAAAGGCATTTCCAGTGGAAATTGGCCGACATATCCTCAGCATAACCATGTATAATATCCACAAAACTTAAAAAGAGGTTATTTTCCACATAAACCTTTCACAATAAAGCTCAAGATCCTGTTGAGACTTTTCAAAATAAACTGAATCAAGTGAAACAGTATGCCGAGTATTTACGGGTGAGAATTAAAAAAGAGCCGTCAGGTGCTAAAAAATAAACCTTAGACTCAAACGTTAGAACAGGCTTTTCCCCGCAGTACACTGTTTAATAAATACTCACAAAGAAAACGGCGGCCGTTACAACTTATGTCTAAATGTATAGTTTCATGCATCGGTTAAAACACTCAATTCCAGTTACACGACGCCCAGCTGGAAACACTTCACGCAAGTCGAGCTGCCCGAGATTCACAGAATTTACAGAAAATGTTAAATTTTTGTGATTTATATCGTTATGGGACGATAGATGTCTTATATCGGGATATGAGATTTTGGTCATATCGCACAGCCCTACTATTATGTTGAAGCACAGTACGTATCACTCCGCGAGGCTCCAGCCTACGATAGACGTCATGCTCTGACGGTGCGGGTTTGTAGCTTAGCAAAGTCTTACTAAAACATTTGACAGATTTTTGAGCGCCGTGTACATAAAACCATTTCGAGGTCAGTAAACACAACCAGAATTCATACATAAGGCACACGGGATTATAAGGGGCACTGTCGATTTTCAGAAAAATCAAAGGATTGATTTTAAGTGTGCCGAATTTTCCAAAAAAACACGGTAATAACAAAGGCCCGCTAGCACGCTCTACCAAAAATAGTGCTTTGTTGTGTATCTGACGGGCGAAAGGTAAACCAGTTCCACACCACTGAAGTTGCAGCAATTTTACAAACCAGTTCTGGTTCATCCATTTAATTCAACGATCGGCTTTCACCCTTCTCATTCTCCGTCGCCGCCATGCTTTTTCCGCCATGTGCGTATGAAAACAAAGGCACTGCGCATGCACGTTTTACCCATATTCTATCACGATATTTCATTTTCTTATCGTTGCCCAACATTATACCGGTGTTACAGTGAACGGTATGATATGGCCCAGCCCTAGTTTCCACTATCACTTCAGATAATGATCGCTGGCATCATTTCTTAAGCCTCAGAGAAAAAAAAAATCTTAACTGTTCTGTTTGATTCCTCTCTTAAATTAGACGCACAGATCAGAGCAGCTGTTAAGCCATTTCTTTCTAATTCTGAACTAGAAAAAGTCTAAAAGGATTACTGCAAAACACTTATAACACAACTGCAGCTCTTTCAAAATGCAACTGCTAGACCCCTGACAGGCACACAGAAGCGTGATCATCTTCTTAAATCGTTGCACTGGCTTCCTGTGAAGTAAAGGATCAATTTTAAAATATTCTTCCTCACATATAAGTGCTTACATGAGCTCGTTTTAATTTATCCAGCAGATCTTGTACATTTCTATGTCCCATGCGCCATCTGACTTACTGTATCCTTATCTCTTTTACTCTTATTATATTATTTCCTGTTATCATTTTTTTTTTACTCTATTTTTATTTATCAAATTCTGAAAGATAAAAAATATTTTATCTTTGTCAGTAATTATGCTATGGATTAAGGGACTCTAACAACAAAAAACAACAACAAACAAACAAACAAACCAAAAAACGCTTAAAAACTCATTAAATTCATTAAAGTGTCAGAACACAATTGCATGTGTTTCACTGTATTTGCAGCCCATACCAGAGCGAGGTAGAATTTGGTCACGGTGCGGTCCTTGAAGCAGCGGTAAGCCCGGCCAGCGGCAGCTTTATTCAGGGCAACACAAAGAGCTCCACTTGTGGAGAAATCCAACTGATGACAGAACCTTGTGAGAGACGAGGAAAACAATAAGACTACTCCTGCTACCAAGAACATCTGACAAGTGCAGAGGAAGTAAAGGGATTCTGACCGAAATCCATAGTAGGTGCGTGGGTCAGCCAGCTGAGGGAAGCGGTGGCGAAGCTGTGCCTGTACAGTGTTCTTCTCGTACCACATCTTGCTGTCGATGCGGATGTCCCAGTGTTTGTCCACCACGATGTAGTCATCACTGTGATACAGTACACGCAGGCTCTCCAGGCTAGCGGGCTCCGTGCTCATCGTGTGCAGTGATTAACTGGCACAAGCGCTGCAGGCCTGCAGGGACAAAGTCGCTGTCGTGACACATTTCACTGAGGGTTTATTTGAAGTACAGTACTAAAGACTTTCCTCTCACCAGTATAAAAAAAAACCTCATAGCTGCCACTTATATTAATTCAACAGTCAATAAATTATAGAGCATAAAACTTGATTAGTATAAACTAGCAGGCAGTGGAATGAAACCTTGCGTGTTTGGGTCTTGCACAAGTGTTTCTCACAACTTTCTTTGATTTCTGCTTTAATCTCATTTAACTCGGAATAAATGGATTTTAAGTTTTTTGTTGTTACATTATGCATACTTGTGCTTGCAGGTGCAAAGCATAAGTACCAGCATAGATATGCAACATAGCTGTGCTCGTGCAGCACTTTTCTAGGCTTACTGATCACTCAAAGGTCTTCTAACATCTTAAGTACACATTCATACAGCACATTATCTTGACATGCATGTTTCTGGACTGTGGAAGGAAGCTTGAGGACCTGATGGAAACTCAGTCCAGGTACCTCTAGAGCTGGTCAAGCATACAAACTCCATGCAGAACAGCCCTGCAGGAGTTAAACCAGAAACCTTGCTCTGATGCAACAGTGCTCATCAGCCTACTACCATGCTCGTGTCTGTGTCAAGGTACAATCTCTCAAGGCACCCTATGTTTGAACTCCTTATGTGCAAAATTATGGTGTTTTACTATTACACTGTTTGAAGAGTCCTCCACGATCCTTTAAAAACCAGCAGGTGCCTGTCGTTTGGAGTGGAGGGCCCACTCCTGAAGACCTTCTATGACTCTGTTGTGGCTTCTGCTATCTTTTATGGTGTGGTCTGCTGGGGCGGCAGCATCTCTGCTGGGGACAGGAAGAGACTGAACAGGGTGATCCGAAGGGTCAGCTCTGTTCTAGGATGCCCTCTGGACCCAGTGGAGGTGGTGAGTGACAGGAGAACGGCGGCTAAGCTGTCATCCCTGTTGGACAACCTCTCCCACCCCATGCAGCAGACTGTGACAGCACTGAGCAGCTCCTTCAGTGGGAGACTGCGGCACCCACGGTGTGGGACGGAGAGATTTCGCAGGTCTTTCCTCCCCACTGCTGTCAGACTCCACAATAAAGACTTTAACTGATCAAACACACACATCCATACATATGCAATAATACTAAGTGCAATAATCCTTTCTGTCATCGTTGTACTTTTACTCAGTTGTATATAGTATTTGTATTTGTATTCTATTTTTATCTTATTGTATATTTATTTTATTTTATTCTACTGTATATAGTATTTTATTTTATTCTATTCTGTACAGTTGTGTACTGTATTTATTCTTATTGTATCCTAATTTTTGCCTCATAACTTTTGCACTGTCCACTTCCTGCTGTGACAAAACAAATTTCCCACGTGTGGGACTAATAAAGGTTATCTTATCTTATCTTATCTCTCTGGGAAACTGGGCAGATGTGACAGTTCTCATGACTGAATCAAGCTTCTGCCTTCACCTCTGTCAGCGCTCTCCCATAAGAAATATACACAGACCTGACATGTACGGTTTCCAGGTTTAGATCTGAAATTCATCTGAAAAGAAACAGCTCAATTTTGACCCTGAATAGCCTCGGTGTACAACAATATTTTTGGGATTCAACTTTCATTTTGCGTATTTTGTGTAACTTTCGGAAAATGCGTCGAATTTCAGGGTAAAACAATAACATTCATGTTTAATTATTTATTATTACTGCTGTCAAATTTAAAAAAAAAAGATCAGATTTGACCCAGAATGGAGGAGTTAAAAGGTCGAAAGGTCCTGAACGTTTATGTAGTTTCAAAAAAGCCTCCAGAGCCTCAACCGCAGTGCGCCAAACCATCTTTACGGCTGTGAGGAGAACAGACCGGTGGCCGTAGCCTGTCTTATATTCGAGGACGTTTCCTTGGCCGTGAGAGCATCCCATCCACCTGCGCGTGTGGCAGTAAATCATGCGCCCACTAGTTTGCTAACTAGTGGTTTGCTATTAGCATAAGACAACTAACCTGTGTTGTATGATAAAATATGTTTTCTGAATAAGAAAGCCCGGTTATAGGGCTTTCTTATTATAGTTAATATAACCGGAAAACTTACCGTTAATAAGGACTCAAAAAGTGATAAATGTTTTCAACAGATGTAAACATAGCCGCTTGTGACGCACTGCACTGCGCATGCGCTTCATCTTCTTCGTGCGTGTTTTGGGTCGTCAGACTAGCTTAAAAGGTGCACAGCGCCACCACCCGTGTATGACGGTGTTTATTTCACCATACATGAACGATTTACGTTTACAAACATTTTATGATTCACCTCGTTGCTGGTTTACTTTGTTCAAGGATTAAAAGTCTCCAGTATTGTGCAATAGTCTTGAACCACCCCTTATTTCTTCATATTTTGCTTGGAAAATTTGAAATAGGAGACCTTTTAAAACATACAGAGAAATACAGTATACGAGATATGTATCAGTTTATACAATTGTAACATGCGTGAAACTCCATATTTGATAATACCACCTTTATTATTCAACACAGTTTTAACTGTCTTAGGCAGGGTTCTTGTAATTTCTTTAAGCAGTCTTCAGGAATAGTTCTCCAGGCTTCTTGAAGGACATTCAAAGCTCTTCTTTGGATGTTTTTGCCTTTTGTTCTGTTCTCTATCAAGATGATCACATAATCCTTCAATAATGTTGAAGTCCGGGCTCTGGGGAGGAAAATCCATGACTGATAGTGTTCGACTGTGTGTTTTTTCTATCCAGGTATGCCTTTACCGCACAGTATGTGTTTTTGCGATCATTGTCATGCTGAAAGATGAAGCTGTTGCCAATCAGATGCTTTCCAGATGGATGCGTGGTGGATCAATATCTGACCATACGTTTCTGTATTCATAATTTCAACAAGATCCTGTAGATACTGCCTGTTGTTACTCTCTCCTGACCTACATATTGAACCAAAGATTTCCAGTTTGGATTCATCACTCCTTCAGACCTGCTGTCTTTCAGTCCAGTCCAGTGTGCTGGGTTTTTACCTCAGACTTTTTCCCCTGTTTCCCTTCTTTAAAAATGGCTTCTTTATAGCCACCCTTCTAATAGAGACCATTTATGGTGAGGCTCAAGTGAACAGACAGATTTCTCAGGTCACAAATCAGGCCTGAATGTCTTTCTATTTCCTAAGAACATGACTTTCAAATACAGTTCAGCTGGCGCAGATATTTTTTAGAAGCCCGCTGTTGCTTTTCTCATCCGTCACTTGTCCACTTTCCTCAAATTTATCAAGGATCCACTGCACATATGGCCAGGATATGTCAAGTTTTCAGCTAACAGCTCTTTGTGAATCAGCTTTTTGGGGCAAAAATAATATTTTATTCCTGTCAAATTGTGTTATCGTTGGTATTTTTCTAAGAATCAAATACAGAGGTGGGAACAAATTATGTGTTGTGCACAAACATTTTTCTTGTAAAACAAAGGGGGCCCTAGCAAAAAAAAGTTTTGGAACCATTGCCTTAATAAATGATAAGAAAGTCTGGAAGTAAAATAAATTATAAAGAAATCAGGAATAGCTCAAGACGTCTGCACAAAGAGTAGAGAGAATGAATGGGAAATACTTGTCCTTCATCAGAGGATTTAAAGATGTGGTATTTTAGATAAAGCATCTATATTATTTATAGGCACGCTATTGGTTCACCTGTGATTTTATTGCCAAGCCAAGCGAAGAGAGTGAGGAAGAAGCTTCCTGATGTTTGGTTTTTAGCCCTATGACAACTGTATTGAAAACTTTGAACAGTTACAAATCAAACAGCTTGTCATCTGGACTGGAGTGAGCGGATTATGTTTATTGCATTTGTCTCATTTTATTATTTATTTATTGCCCTGTGGTACCGTTTCAGGTCAGTCCACAGTTACTGTGATGTTCATAATCCCTCACCTTCACCTCGGGACTTTAATCTGATGGGTCCATGTGACAATCCAGTATTGTGAGCATGTGGTAGCTGAGGTAATGAAATGCCACGTTTTGTTTATGCGTTTTGTTCAAGTCTGCCCCGGCACATCCAGGGGCATTGGAGGGCACCTGAGCAAGGACGTGCGAGAGGACGAAGACAAAGGGCTCAGATTCAGAGATGGGGTGAAGAAAACGTTTGTCCATCTTGTCACGCTTTGACCTCCTCACGGGTCCAAAGCTAATATAGTAAGTGAAGACTCTTTGGAACATTACGTGCTGAAACACATTGGTTGAATAAAGCACAGGCTCTTCCAGAGAGTAATCCCTGAACGCAGACAGGTAATAATGTGTGTTGAGCTAAGAGGATGAAGACTTATTATATAATTGGTGTGTGCGTTGAGTCAAATGCTGGAGAATTGGATACAGTCGTGCTGCTGTGATGCTGTTTTTCTGGTTATTGTTTCGTAACATGTGATAGCAGATCATGCACTCTGATAAGAAGGCACACATGCTTACACACAGATGCACGTGGCACTAACACAAAGGCTTCAGTCAGAGAGAGGATGAGCTGGCAGATACTGTGCAGGAGGCAAGCATCAATACTGATATTGTAAGAGGAAGTTTTTCAGCATCCTTACTGTGGATTGTGTGATATAAGATATCTAAAGATTCCTTGTTGCTCTGGATTTGCTTGATTTCTAACCAGCTTTCTCTATCTTGGATGTATTTTTTCTTTTTAGAACTGTTTTGATCTTTTCTGCACCACTTTGAGTTTGGTGCAAAAGTCTTTGCCGGCCATAATACGAACATTTTTACAGGTCTTTTCTCAAACTGTTTGTTTTTTTTTTTTGCCCAGAGACGTGACAAGGCAGGCTCTCTAGATACCGTTTATTTTATATCATTTGGATAAAGCGTGAAGGACACAGCTTATATAAGCGGTATTCATTTTTTTCCAACTCTGAGAGGTGTAATTTTTCTGACCTTGCATTTATTTCTGTAGGATTACTTTCTGAGACTGCCGTGAGTATTTTAAGCCGCCTCTCCACCATGCATAATAAGTCATTTTTGCAGGCTCGCTGTGATGAGCCTATAATTACGTCGGACTGGGGTCTCCTTTTGCTGCTGGCTCTGCTGCTGCTGGCGCTGGTCTACTCCTTCCTCTACCTGCCTGCCTCCGCCCAGCGAGCCCTGCTAGAGCAGGCCCTCAGCAGCAACAACACCACCACCGCCGTGACTGACTGATTCAGGGATGAACCGTGACAGAAGCTTCATGAATGGATAAGCAGACAAGCGAGGCCATCTTACATATGTAAATAGTGTGGACTGTACTGCTTGTCATTTTGCCCAACAAAAATCAAGAAGCTGTAAAGTGTCAGTAAGGAAACAGAGACATGGATACTTGAAGATGGATTTAAAGTGCGTTTAGACTTGGAGGGGTTTGTAATGAGCCATTTAGCGCCTCTGTGTTTCAGAGAAGAAAAAAAGTATGTAGATGTGTTGAAGCACTGTACTTTCTGGAGGTCCTACTGGCCATGTTGTTCCCTCTATGTATATTAAAAATGGTATCAGGCATGTGTTCCTGTGCTTCTTTTTTTTCTCTTTAAACTTTGCCATGTGTTTTCAAGACCAATTGATAATAAAATGATATGCAAATCAATGCAATGCGCTAAATCTGAACAAAAAAGGCTGTTTTGTTCTAATTTCCCAACCCTGTTACAGTCCTGTGAAAATGAGTTTCACACCCTTAATGTTTTTGTAGAAATGAAGGAGTAAGTAGGAACCAGGTGCTGCTAATAACATGCACTTGATTCACAGATCATCAGGTAGTGTGAGAAACTCTGAACGGAGAAGCTTTGGCAGTTTGCTGGTCTGGACCATTGACAATTCCACAATCTTCCAAAGAGTGTCCCAGCAAATTCCTCCCAAGGTCAGACTGTGAAATGTTCGAGGAACCTGCAAAAAATCCAACAGCTATATCTCTGCCGGCCACAGTTAGCATATAAAAGTTCATGACAGTATAATTAGATAAAGAATGAACAAGTGTGGCGTGTTTGGAAGTGTTGCCAGGAGAAAGCTCCTATAAAATCAACATTTTAGCTTGACTTATGTTTGCAAAGTTACATCTGAACAAACCACAATACTTCTGGAACAATGTCGTTTAGGCAAACGACACTAAAGTGAAGATGTTTGGCCATAAAGAACAGCACCATGTTTGGAAAAAATCAACACGATCGTGTGAAAATACATGAGCGTGTCACGAGAACAACTTAGTTACCTGCTATTCAATTTCTGCAAAGCAGACTTGGGTTTAAGACAAACAAAAAGCTCGGTTTGAATTACCTTTATTAAAAGATACATGATATTAGATTTGACACCAATATTTAAAGATGCAGCACTTGATTGTTACAGGCTGAGGCATCAGATCCAGAAAACTTTTTTTTTTCCCTTTCTGCTATCTGTGCCTTACAAATGGTTCCCGTAAATACTGTATCCGCAGTATACGACCACTACTGACATCTGGATATCGCATCGCTAATATTTTTTTTTCTTTTAATCACATTAAATCCTTAAAAAAAGAAAGAGAGAATCTTGCTAAACCATGCAACACCCAACAAGCCAACATTTACAGTTAGTCTTAGACCACGATGATTCACTCAAATGGTACTTCAGAGTTCAATATGTTCAGCTACAATGAAAATATCATATCCAAAGACTTGACACAATAATGATAGTACATATTTTTTAAGGGACACCAGTTTATCCCTTGATTTACTGCTCTCACATTCAAGCTCGAAAGCTGAATATTATTCACATCTTACGTCCTTGGTATAAGACAGAGGTTTAGAAAGGTTTAATTTAGTTCATAAGCGTATCAAATCCTTAAGGACTTACATGCATCTCTTTCTACAATATACACAGTTCAGTTCCAGTCGTTCATTGGTCTGCTCCTTCAAATAAAACATGCCACAAAGTCTCGCGAGAACTGGCGCTTCGCTAGCAAACACAAAAGTTAAAACACAGCATGTGTATGAAAAACGAAGGCAAAAAGGTCGGGCCTTTTTAGTTGGAGTGTAATCTGGGTTTAGGAGAGATGACGCACCATTATGAGGGGAAGAGAGAATATGTGAAAAGTTATTATAATCAATAACAGAAAACAGAAAAAAAAACATATGAGAAAACAGAAAACGGAGATGTTAAGAAAGACAGCAAATACAGTCTCAGTGAATCTAAATGATCTAAATGCACCTAATTAAAATG